GCAGCAGCAATGGCACTCCAAAACCTGCCCCAGTAAACTCCGTGCTTCCAACTGCATTTTACATGAGTCTTATCAATCTTTAAGTGAGTTTGCCCACATCCCAGTGGAACATTCTACTCTACCTTCAAAGCACTGAAACAGATGAAACCATCTGAGAAACTTGAACTAACAGCCCAGGTTCACTCATGATGGAAGGAGCTGGAGGCAAGACAATCTCAGCACGGGGTCATCAACTGTGAAATATGCTTCTGGATGCAATTTGTCAAAGCCTGAATCTCTTGACCTTCAGGTCACACTGCATGGGCCATTTGTTCTCCCTGACATTTCCCGGGAAATAAGAATAGAATTACTAATAGATTCCTCAGGGCAATACCTCTGTTTGGGAGGTATTCCGGGAGTCAAGTTACAGAAAAGGCATATTTCTTTAAAAAGGGAAATAATTTGAAAATAAATGAAGATATGCATCATTTAATTCAAACTGATCCAAAGTCTCTACAAAAAACTTGTGTGACCACATATTCCTCCTTTTAAAATTGTATTTAGCCTCTAAGCTGGAAAAATATCTTACTGATAGTCACTGATACACCAGTCTTTAAATAAATTATCTTCTCTTTATAGGAAGACATTTTTTGAAACCTGGTGTGCTGTAACTTCTCCGCTTAGACAGCCTTTCTATAGTGTAGAATAAACTCTATATAAAGTTTGAGGGTAAAGCAGAATCCATGTCTTTCTGTATGTAACTTAACTTTTCAGCTTTATATCCAGTCGATAAACTTGTAAGAATCTACTGAAAGGACTTTGTCAGAAAAATAAAAATACATTTTCCATTATTAAAAAAAACAAAACAAAACAAATAAAAACAAATCAAGTCTTTCATTCCATAAAAATGAATTCAAAAAAGTTCCAACAGCAAGTTCAGTTCCAACTGAAAGCACCTGCAAAACCCAAACTTAACAGTTCTATTGAGTTATAGGACTTTTATCTGAGTGAATGAGGGTATATTAATCTATGATCCTTCAACTGGATTTGCACTGATCGTTTCCTTGCTAGCTGTCTCCTGGGTTTTGGGTTTCCTCCTGTGCAGCAATTTACTTCACTTTAGTCAACTAACTTGCAAGTGTGGAAGTGATATGCACGTAATTATAAACTTACACTTACAGAGAACTACTATATCGGTATCTCAGGAAGATGTTACAGACCTGCAATAACTATTATTGAATTAATTGTTTAACTGGCAGTTGTGGCTGAGTAGATGGCTGAGAACTTGAAATTCAGGGACAGAAGGGATGCCAAGGCACTGCTGAAACAGCAGCTGTTGAGCACATACTGGGATGGATCAGAGGGTTTTGGGGTTGTCAGGACTCCAGCAGAGTAGGAGATATTCTGAGATTTTGGGGCTAGGTGCTACATAAAAGTTACTGAGACTCAGAAGGGTGGAGGGACCCTTGAAATGCCTCCTTTGTGCTGTCCCTTGCCACTCATGTGGCACAGAGAGGCAACGTGTGACTGCCTTTGCAGTGAGGAGGCCACAGTAACCTCTAACAGTAGAAGATAAGAAACGTCAAACACCGTGTAGTGCTTCTTTTCAGCAGGGCTGGATTTGGGCGCTAGGAGATAAAAATGCACGACCAAGCTCCTCTTCTCCATCCCACATGCCAAGGCAAAGTCAATAAGACAAAGTGTGGTTCAGCTGTGCCTCCCAGCATTCAGCTGCTGGGCATGGTTCAGAGACTGGCAAAGAAATTGGACATTCCTGTAAAACGTTTTAATGCATCCCTAAGACTCAGTGAAATGGATAAGAATTGGATATGAAAGGTCTTAACATCCTTAACATCAATGAAGCAAGGTCATAATCCATCTTCTATACAAAATCCACATTTGCATATTGCTGATGCCAATGATCACTGCTTAATAAAAACAGCCCCCAGTACCCTGCGTTGTTCTGACAAACAGAACCTTCCTGACCCATCATTCTGACATTGTGGTCTGGGTGCCACAGTATATGCTGGTTTCCTAGGTTTTATTTCACAAATGTTGTTCAAGTTTCAATGCTGAAGCCAATCAGAGCTTTATAACCTCCCCATATACAAAATTAACAGAAAAAAAAAAGTAAACCAAACACAAAACCACCGTAGCAGCAATACACTGCCTGCTATAGCTGCAGCTGAATGCTTGAGTCCAGATGTTTTTCTTTTTGTAAGTAGCATAAATGTCAAATATAAACAGCAGTTCTGGTTTGGCCCCACTCCTATGGGTTTGGAAAATGAACCGCTGCTGCCTGATTTCAAGTGACCAGAGTTTTATTACAATTAAATGTACAAACCTTTTCCTTTCAATGCATCTATTACCCAGTGATGCACTGGGCTAATTACCTTCAGAATACAAACAGTCTCTCTGTGCTGCTGAGGAAAACATGAAAAAGATGAAAGTAAACCCTGGTAGAACCTCTATAAAACACTAACTATGAGCAATTTGACACAATCCTGCCAATTAAGTATCATGTGTAAGTCTAGACCTTACTCCAGAAAACAGGCAGAATTTGCCATGCTGGTTGTTAAACAATGGCAATGGGAAGAGTGAAAGCACCCAGAGATGTTCAGCTGTTAGATGTTCCTATAAATTTCACATCAGTTTATTTCAGCTTTCAGGAGAGCATCTGAGATACATCTGTCTTTCTCTCACATGCAGCTAGCTTCTCATTTTGAAATCTGATTCTAATATCCCTCTACAATTGGAAAAGCTGCTCTGGAAAACAAAACAAAACTCCTTTTTTTCCCCCTACACTTTGTTTAACCTTTAGATGAAAATGCAAGCACTGAAGAGACAGAGGAATAAACCTGTCACAAACAAAAGAGGCCATATGTAGGTTAGTCTAACCCTAAGCTCTAGCCTTTCCACACTGAAAGTCAGAATGTGTGCCTAAGTATTACGTACTGAGATGTGGCCGTGCTGTAAAATGTTCTTAAAGAGAAGCAAGAATAAGAAAACTTCAAGTATTGCAAGTATTCTTATTCAAGTATTATTTCAAACTTGCTAGTGCCATCCACGCTCTGGGTCAGCAGACCTTCGCACAAGAATGCAGTTCTGACACTTTCTTTTCCTGATGTGGAAGGAAAAATAGCACATAAAGTCTCCCCAAACTGCGAAAAGCATTAAAAAAAAAAAAGATTGTTGAGTGTCTCACTGGAACAAGAATAAAAATAAAGCAAAGGATGCAATGAAAGGCAATACAGTGTGAAAGACAAGAAAACCACAAAGAAGTTCATCTGAGGCTAAGACTGATAGGCAGGGCTTGTGATTGCTTGCTCATGCTCTTCTCCCTATTGAAATCTGGTAGACACCTTCCACTTAACGGTACTATGTGGCCATCAGTCCCATATGCCCACAGTCCAGGCTTGTCCATCTTCTCCCACCAACGTAGCCAGCACCCAGCTTTCCTGGAGCACTGAAGGAGGTTTCCAGGGTGTTCCTCCTCTTGCTTTGGAAACCGATCTCCTCAGTGTAAGATACAGTGCTGCTTAGTCTCAAGACACAACCACCAAAGCTATTGTCAACTACTGGCTTTGTTAAGACATGTATGCCTACTAAAATGAAGACAAGATAGTGCCCACCACTAGGTCTGACGGGCTTCTGCTACCCCAGAGTAGGGCGCTCTCAGGCACAAGTCATACTGAGCTGCCCTATAATTTTGTAGACAAAAAGAGCAAAAGGTAAAGCCACAGAATGAACTGTCCAGGTAACTGCTAGGCACGAGGAACATGATTTAATTAAGCTGCATCTTAAGTAAACAACATGTCCAAGTCCAAGGTCATCATCCTGTTTACGAAGAACTTCCTCGCTTCAGCAAGAGAACAGAAAGGAATTCGGGAACTACACAGATTTATGCTTTGCTCCTCTTATCCAACTGACAAATGAGAAGGCTTTGTCCTTCCTCCCCATCCAACCAAAAAGAAAGTCTTTGGTAGGGGAGGCTGTTCCTTAATTAACCAAGGATGCTGTAATCCTTGCAGAAAAATTGTCTCCCTGCCTTCCAAAATGGAGAGGTAAGAGGTAATTTTCAGTCTTGTCTTCAAAACTACTGAGCAATGCTGGTGCGTTGTTAGTGTACAACTGAATAGCCAACCCCATCATTTCCACAGACAGAAATCTTCTAAGGAAGATACTCTTACCTACACAGAAACCATGCCAGGCAAGATATAAGTACACATTTTTAATACTATTGCTTACTGCAAAGCATTCTCCTTGATAGAAGACTACTTTTTATACCAATAATAATTGAGTTTAATGTAATGCAGTTTCCAGAGTTTATTTCATGCAGTCTACTTTAATACCAACAACGTATTTCCTCATTTAATTTAAAAATGCATAGGAGTAACGTGATAAAACAACTACCTACCATGAAAAGGGCTTCATAATTTTCAATCATCTTTTGTACGACAGCAATGATAGCAGTACTCTCTTCAGCTCGAGCTGAACTTTGAACTGAGAATTCTTTGTCTGTAGATTTCTGCTTGTGCAACAAGTTAGGGCCAAAGATGGTAGCCAGGTTAAGTGATGTCATTTTGTTCCCAGTAATCTAGAAAACAGAATATAAATGAGGTGGGGTCTAATGTATACAGATATGTATATACGCATACCCACAGACACACACCCCCTTACACACACATTCTCTCTCTTTTCTGATTTGGCAGATATTTCATTCATCAGGAGTAAAACTGAGTGGCAGTCAAATAAAAAATGAACAATTTTTTAGAAATGTTGAAACACCTTGTTTGGACATCTCTGCAACAAGGACTGTGGATTTTCTGGATACATTTTCAAACGGATTGGAGGAGTCGAAGGTGGAAGTGCTGTATGTCCTTAATTCCCTGGAAGCTCGACAGTGGCATACTTCTGAACTCAGGGAGAGAAACCTCCCTCCTACTTCACCATCTCAGCATATTGCTGTCTCTTAGGACCAAATACTGAAAACTGTTAGCTTTTGTTTAGTAACACTCATGATTTGAAACAGATACAATGAGGAAAAACACACTTTTCCACATTTAAACAGTTTAGATAATTAAGGAGCACGGTCATTATTTTTATTACTATTTTCCTGTCTTTTTGCTTCTTTCCTAGAACAAGCCAAATGTTTACTTGTTGGGTGGATTTTTTTGTTTTGTTTTGTTGTTTTCCCTACTTTTATAACTCTGTGCTCAAAGAAGCAAAAGTAATCTGATTTTGGAGGAAGTACAAGGCTAGGAATACATACTAGACCAGACGGAAATGATCTGAAAAATATGTCACATAGGTTATTAAATAAAAATTTTCATTGTTGTATTTGTGATTAGACTCCTTTTTTCCCCTTCTATTCCTTTAACAGAGCAAAAAGCAAGGGTCATGTGCTTCCTCTCTGTGTCTCCACTTGGTTGCTATTCTGGGAATGCAGAAGAAGATGCCAGCAGTTTGACTATATAAGACTGTAAGTGAATTTCAGCTGTTGACCCAGTATTTCTTGCAGGCTTTTTTTAAAGAAAAAAAATATCATGAGAGTTATTTTTCATTTGTTTCAGTTACATTTGAACTAATTAATTTTAAAAAAGGACAGGAAGAGGCACCAAAAAGATGCGGTAAAAACAGCATTTCAAGAAATGAGTGGGACAAAACGAACCTTTTCAAAGTAGTATTTTAAGTTTGGTTTTTTTTTTTTTGTGGCTGGTCATTTACTGAATAATCCAGTCAAACTTATAACTGTGCACTGACTGCACCTGGTTTATTTTTCACAGAGCTCAACTAGACAGCACAGAGATGACAGAAAAAAGAGCTTTTCTTTTTATCAGTGGGATCAACCTGTAATCTTGAAAAGACATCTGCAACTAAGTAGGTGCATGGGCAGCCACAAAAAATATGTTGGTTCTTTGTTTAGAGACTCATCCCAGCATGACTGTGAGTACAGCACACTCCCTTACTTGCGCACCACCGTGCACCCGGCTGTTTTTCAGGTGACCTGCTTTTTAAACACTGTCAGAGTACTGAGCCACCAAGGATGCACAGGCACGTGGTGCCTGGATCTGCATATGCAGGTTGTTTGTACAAACAGTGAGTCTCTTCTTAAGGGCAGTCTCAGGGCACCCCTTAAAAAAAATGTTGTAAACATATCCACTGAAATTAACTGGATGACTAATTTTAATAAAGTTAGTCATCCATCTTCATCTTCGTGAGAGAAACACTTTTGAAAGAAATCATGAAGAGGGCCTGTGTGCCAAAGCCTGGCTGTTTTGCTTCCAGTGATAGCAAACAGTCTGATAAAATACTTTCTTTTGCCCTGTATGCCTTTATTCACTCAATTATTCATGAATAGCTTAAATAACTGTGAGCAGAATACTGTATTATCTATAAAAGGGATCCAATTGCGCATAATATTCCTGATGCTTACAATACTGCCAAGACAGCTTACATAAATTTGCCTTGCCAAAATACCTGTAACAAAGCTGATGTACTGTTAAGAGGAATGAAAACGCCTTTAATACAACTGTCGGGCCAAATCAACTCTCTTAAGCAGCATCCTCTAGCCCTGCAAGAAGATCCTCTTGGGGCCGTTCCTGAACCAACAGAGAACTCTTTGCAGGACCAGGAGGACCACAACCTTAAGCTGGCTTACACATGTTTCTAAGCACAGTAAAATTGTTACAGGCTGCTCTTTTAAAATGCTTTCCATCATAGTGGTGTAGTTTTTTACCAACTCCTTGCTGAGGACAAAAATAATGGCATTTAAAGTGGATCTGAAAGTAAAATAGGCCTTGAAGTCACATACAGCACATTGGAAGTTAGGACTTGAGGCAGAAATTCAGCACAACTCAAGTCTCAAAGACCAACTGTTTAAACCAACCAACTGCAAAAGGTGTCCAAATTTGACAGAAGTGAGCAGGGTTTTCCATATGGAAGACAAAATTCTCCAGGAGTTTCAGAAGAGTCTCAGAAGTAATCTCTGCTGCAGTTCAGAGGACAGAGAAATCCTCCCCACAGATAAACTGGTACAATTTTGTCAAGCAGCGACAGACTGTATCCATCTCGTTCAAAGCTACCAGAGTTGCCACCTTTTGCACAGCAGCCCAGTAGTTCAAGCATTTCACAGGTAGAAAACGGGAAGCCTGGATTTTCAGATCTTCTCTAGTGTGAATGATGCAGATGCACACGTGTGAACACTCAAGACAGCTCAGCCACATGGCTATGGGTGCTCTTGTCCCTGTGGGGCAGGTGCACGCCAACCTCTCCACTGAATTTGGTCCCAAATGCAACAGTAAGGAGGCCAGAAGGAAAACAGGCAAAGATGGACCCTGACTCCAACTAGTGATGAGGTCTGTCAGCTGCAAGGACGCAGCTGGTGTTCCTGTCCTTTATTTTTAATCCTTCACTACCCAGTGCACACAACAAAGCTAAGGGAACCAAGTAGTGAACTGTTATGTCCAAAGGTCATATAAGAAAGCAACAACAGAGAAAGAAAAGATAGTAAAAAAGCATACTCTTGAATGCCTGACACTTTTCTATTTTTTTTCCACAGAAAATAATAGGATAAAACAAGGGGGGGGGAAGGATGGATAACATTAGACGTTCTTAACAACAAGGTTCATTACACTGTGAATCTCCCAAAGGAAGTGGTAGATACTTTCCTGATTAAGTCATGTAAAAATTAAACTTTCACAGCCCTAAGAACATAGTAAACAACCAAATGGCAAATGTGCAGGCAAAAATATGAAATCTCTCCCATCTTTCAGGGGTATGCCACCACCGTGTTTGTTTCACAGCTTTAAAGATCTCTTTTCAGGTCATGAATTAAGCAAAGTCAAAGGACACCAGTGACCAGGACTTACTTCTTGGCCATCTTTGTCTGTGGTGTCTTCTGCGTGGCCAGCCACTGTGGAGAGGAACTGCAGCAGCCGGTGTAGGGTATCGCAGTTACAGGGAGGTAGAAGATAAATGAGAAGCTGTAAAGTGCTTAGCTGTTCATCTGGCTCTAATACTAAGAGGGGAAAAAATACACTCTTAAGAAAATCACTCCAACTAACCTAAAAGCAGAACAAATACACTATTCCCAGCCCAAAGGAAGGAATAAGAATAGCTTTGTTTAAGGATCATTTTCCATATAATGTCAGAAGAAAAAGAGAAAACTCTAAGGAAATATCAAAAGTGTGACAAATACTGTTATGGGATCTCTGCCTTGGTCAACTTTTTGCTCACAGGTTCATAGGATCTTTTCTCAACGTATAAGAGAGCAAAATCCATGTTGCACACTCCATCGCTGCCACTGGACACAAAAATTCTGCTTAATTTTCTACTTACTCCACTCCTTTAGGTATAGCTACTGGTATATACATGGCACCGTTGGGAAGCATTCCAGTCAGGTTTATGCTTCAGCCATTTTAAATGGGTTTTCTTACAATTTCACATCCTGCAGCGGTACTGGGAGACTGGAAAAGCAACTAGAGATGTAAAGGACGTTCTGCAACCACCATCACTTTAGCCATCTAAAATGCAATGGTGGCCAGTGATAAAGGTGGGACAGAGGCAGGATCTCCGACATGAGGGCTAGAATGAATCTGAAGAACACATGCCAGGCAGCAGCTTAAGCTTGAAGGGTCCAACTTTACTTTTTCCCAAATCTGTGAGAGTCTGCACTCAGGTCTTAGGCAACACATTTGGGAGTGCTTAATATGATGGTTTTGAGGACCATTAACTATGATGAAACTGGAACTTCTGAAGCTAGGTTTTTGAAGCCAGACTGGAATTTTGGTCAGTGAACAGTTCTAAAAATTAAAAGCATTAATGGTGCTAAGATACCAGGACTCAAATGGGAGTCTGTCATCTGCTATTGCTGAATCAATGACAGGGTCAGAATTTAACAGATAACATGAATCACATCCTATATACAAATGCAAAAAATAGGTATAATAGGTGAAACCTATTTTGTTCTAGTTTTCTGAACTATACTTACACAGCATTAAAACCAAGGAAAGACCTCAGCAAATTTATACTATACAACTATCTGGAGCAAATTAAGGCTAGAGTATTAAATGCACAGAAAAAAAAGAATACGCTTAGTAGAGATCAAAGAATTCAAACAGGTAAGCTTTTGAAAACTGGTAAATTAAGATGCTGTAGAGCTCACAGAGAGTGTTGATGAAAGCTGTATAGAGTTCTCTGGTGAGAAGCGGGTCAGGCATGTCACGCAGAAATTCCTTTAACAAAGCAGCAACATCATGAATGCTGTGCTCTTCATCTAATACAACATCTATGCCCCGGTCAAACTCTTCACGCAACTGAAAAAGATCATGACACAAAATCACAGTCACTTATTGTCCCAATTAGTACATCCCAATACACAAAATCTTTAAGATGTAGATTTACTCATTTGCACTTTCCAGACTGAACATGACTTGTATTTGGTAAGGTCAAAGATATAATTCACGTCTAATTGCTGCTTATTCCATGATAGATAACTTTAAGGTCTGTACCAGACAGTAATAAAAGGCAATTCTTTCTTTCCAGCTAATATATGGCACTTTCCTATGAAAAAAAGTGCCCAAGCAAATATAATTTTTGCAGAAATGTAAGACTAATATCAAAGGCAGAAACCAGGGAGATTAAGGAAAACTGCAAGAGAGGCTTTCTTATACCACCTTACTGCATTATCCCTAGATTTTAGGGCCTGAAAGAAACTGCATTTCATAAGTTACGTTTTTGTACAAAAACATTAATAATAAGACAATATTTATATCCACCAAACTCACCTTTCTCTTGTGATTTAAGACTGTATTTAAGCATAAACAGTAAGCAGCCAAGTTCACTAAGACTTCACAGCATTTGTCCACACACATTTTGTTCCACCTTCTTAATTTAGTTATATTCACTAAGTGATCATCATTAGGGAGTTAACAAACAGCAAGCTAATACTGTTACGAGCCATCGTTATTTTTTTCCTCAGACAAATTCTGTGTAATTCAAAGGCATCACACCTCCTAAAGGCAGATGAAATCCCTCTCCCACATCCAATATGCCTTATGAAAAGATGAAAGCCTGCCTTCCTGGAGAGATTTCCCAGCACCAAGAGCAGAATACTTTCTTAATGCTGAGAGTTCCACCTTTTACTCTCTTTTCATTTTGAAAAGAGTCAAGATGTTTTAGAGGTATTTTCTATGAAAACTTCCTATTTTTGCTAATATATGTGAGATCATGATCATAATATCTTCTCAGAGAGTAATTGTTTCTAAATCTTACTAAACAAGAGGAAATTTGAGGTATCAGCTTTCTTCACCAGGATTATTGCAGACAGATCAAAAAGAAGAAATAAGGCAAGTCACAAGCAAACTATGTGTCTCTGATAATCTGTGGCAAATCTTGATCACAGGCAAATCTATCTTGAGTGTATATAGTGTGGAGGAAGGTAGAAAATCCCATATTTTCAGCTGAAATCATGCTTTCCTAACAGGTGTGAAAGGTATTCTATAAAAAATACAGCCTCCTTTCTAACCCATTAAGACTAATTTTAATGCTATTAACATCAGTCATTACTAATAATGAATAATTATGCTATGAAGACCAGAATGTGTTCTTTATCTAATATTATGCTTCCCCCTGCTGATTTGTGGTCAAAGATTTTCCACTGCCAACTCGGGGATTTCATTCCCAGCTCAATTCTACTCTTCAGACTGGTGGCAAATGTGGAACATCCCTGTGGAGCACCATAAATTACCTCTATCCAGAAGGCTGCTTCTGCACTTACTGCCCAAAAGAAAATGAGGAAACAGGTTAGTGCTGCATCAGGAATTTGGACTTCCCCCAAAGAGATGTCTAAACCATAAATTGCTGTTACAGTCTTGAATATGGCATTTCTGATCTGATATCCCGTGAGGTCTACAGAGATGTTCTAATTAGCACAATATTAGATAACCATTGGTGAAATATGGCCACATTTCAGGCCCAGGTGTCACAGCTGTTAAAAACTTTTTATTTCTAAGTTTAAACTTTAAGTGTCTCAGACTTCGTTCAGGGAAGCAGGGAATGCTTTCAGACTTCTGGACAATACATCCGGTGAACTACAGAATCCACCGGAGCTTAAGACATGAGAGCCAAGGATGTCCATGCTGGGAGAGGGGATGGGAGAGTAGAGCTCCAGCCACGTTGCTCTTCAACCGCAGAGTCTGGTGGTTGCTTCACCTGCAGAACTGACATCAAGTCACCATGCCCAGCACAGAGGGCTGCGTACCCCAAGCTTGGCAACGATGCTCTGCTCAAGTACCTGCATAGTTTCTGGGCACAAGCTGGTACCTGGCATCCTGATGTACCAGACCTACCACCTTGAGTCAACAGGAACCTTGGTCCTACCCCCCACTGAACGTGAAGAAGGTGGTTTGTAAAAGATGCACTTGTTCTAGATTTTCTCTTCCTGCTCACCAACCAAAAAACCCCACTGGGACATGCATTTACTGACTTAGGTATTTATTGCAACAAACGACAGTCAAAACAGGACATTTTCTAACTGGGGAAGGAAGGGAAGCAAAACTATGCCTACTTTCTACACAAGAAAAACTAATGAACAGCTGCAAAAGGACACCAAAATCTGAGGACTGGGTTTGGCTTTCCATGGTTCAGAAAATGAGTGGAATTTTAATTGAATCCAGACTTTCCCATGTGTTCATGTTGACAGTGTTTATTATTGTAACTGCAAGGGCCAAGCTGATGCTTCCATGTTATTTAATGAAATATATTAGTTCATGTAGTTCAATAAATTAGTCCTTGTAACAGAATACGTAAATACCCAAATCTCTTGATTTCCTCAGCTTTTGAAAACACAGTAAAAGAAAAACTGGTGAAAGTCCCTGACGTTTGAAGTAAGGCTTAGTTTACAAGCAAATGATACAAGCCCTCTGCTTTTTCCCCAGAGGTATGATGCAACAGTACTCACCCTTGAATGATAATATACGTTTTGACATTGAAGCTTGTAATGTAAATGACAGGCAACTTACTTTTCAATACTTTATCTAGTTCAGTGTTGATTTAACAACTGCCTCCGCAGACCATCAATGTTTTTAGCTTTGTGCTACACCAGCCACTCAGTCAACAGTAATAGTAAGAGCCACTCCGTAACAGCAACTGCTAGGGAATAAGCTACAAATCAGTAGGCTATACTGTCCTACCAGCCAGAATCAAGTCCATTTAGGTACACAAAGTAACCTTCCAGAGCGCCAAACATTATACTGTATAGTTTTTGCACCAAAGAACTACTATTTCTGGGATCAGATGCAGTCAAGCTTTCTTTTGCTTTTTTCTGTTTGATCTTTTTGGCCTTACACTTCCTGTCAGCGGTATTTTCCTGTAACGTTTTATTCCCTCCCTAAGCATCATGCAACTATTAAGCACTATTCTCTACTGCTCGAATTCAACGTGTATTCCCAACTTCTGGGAATAACAACGCAATATCTAGGGCTGAGGAAACACCCACTTCTGACTTTGTCTCTGGAACCTAACCACACTATCTTTGTTTTTTCAACATTTGGCTGAGACTAGGACTTGGAAGGGGCTGCTCTGACCTTCAAGTTTAATAGGGGTAAAATAAAGGTGATATTTGGGAGCAGCGATTTGAGGGTCAAAGAGATTGCTCTGTACTTGCATATTTTCTCATCCTGTGAGTTTTCCAAAAAAGATTTACAGTTTGGATTTACTTTGGGAGCTTCAGCTGTTTCTGAGATGAAACCAGCAGCCAAGATTTTTTT